AGAAACATCGATGAGAGAGAAACATCGATCAGCTGCCTCCTGCACACTCCCTACTGGGGATGTGCCTGCAACCCAGGTACATGCCCTTGACCGGAATCGAACCCGGGACCCTTCAGTCCGCAGGCCGACACTCTATCCATCGAGCCAAACCAGTTAGGGCTTGAAATATCTTTTGGGGAATGCCCATATGAAAGATAAAATTAAATAAACCAAGCCGTCCCGTTGATCCTTAACCTTTTAGGATTGTAACGTCTTCTCATTTTTCCCTTGCTGGTGAACGTGTGTGCAGGAAAGTTACGTGTTTAAGCAAGCTGATGAGAGAAGGGTTACCATTTTAATATTCTCCAGCATTACCCGGGAAGTCCGTCCACTGTTTTGTCAGCCTCTTTCCTCCTTTGGAAGGAGTGTAGTGAGCGTCGCAAATAGAAGCTAAACCCTCATGCAGATATTCTGCCAGAAAAGTGCATTTCAGCAGCTCTTTCCAAAAAGGCAGGGAGGGAGGGCGGCTTCTGGCGTCGGATGGCTGTTGAGCCCTTTCCAGGTCTCCGGCAAACCTCCCTGCAGGCCGAGCAAGAGTGTGACCTCAATCTCTCCTTTGTCTGTAGTTCTCAGTCCGCTCTTTAGCTTCTGACACAGAAAAGCAGGCAGCCTACATCGAGACCCCAGGCTTTCCTCCCCCGGAGTCCTGGGCCCACCGAGGCTGGTGACGATCAATCGGCTTCCGTGTGTACACGCGGATGGTGAGCGCTCCTGTGACTTTGTCTGGCCTGATTCTTAGACCCTCCCCAGAGCCTTTATCTGCTCCACATACACACGTCTCTTTAATATGCCAATGCTGCCCTAGCCGGTGTGGCCCAGTGGATAGAGCGTCGGCCTGGGGACTGAAGGGTCCCAGGTTTGATTCCGGCCAAGGGCATGCACTTCCCCTGCAGGCTCCTCCCCGGCCTGGGGCCCTCGTCGGTGCGCGTGCAGGAGGCAACCCATCGATGTGTTTCTCTCACATCAATGTTTCTCTCTGTCTTTCCCTCTCTCTTCCACTCTCTCTAAAAATCAATGGAAAAATATCTTCGGGTCAGGATTAAAAAAACTTTTAATATTTCAATACTTTCTGTGTGCAGGGGAGGCAGGCTACGGGGAGAGGTCAAACAAGGGAAAGTATTTCTAAAACAGTATATGTGCAATTTGAAAAAAACAGTGGCATTGTCTCATAAAACGCCGCTATTACTTAGAAGAAGGCTCTCATATCTTTTTTTAAATTTTTTGTTTGTTTGTTTCTATTGATTTCAGAGAGGGAGGGAGAGGAAAAGAGAGAGAGAAACATCAAAGATGAGAGAGACTCATGGATCGGCTGCCTCCTGCACGCCCCACACTGGGGATCGAGCCCGCAACCTGGGCATGTGCCCTGACTGGGAATCGAACCATGACCTCCTGGTTCATAGGTCGACGCTAACCGCTGAGCAACACCGGCTGGGCCAGGTTTGGATCTTAGGCGTCTAATGCTCACACAGGGGAAGCCCATGGAAACCCGAGTGTGGCCGTCAGATCTGTTCCTGCTGCTGCTCCCTCTGGGTTACCCTTCCTGTCACTTCCCTGACTCCTGCTTGGTCGGGATCACAGGGAATGGCTTTCCTTTTGTTTGTACACCCTGATTTCTGTTTGCATTCTTTTAAATCTTAGAAACCAGAGCTGGCAAGGGCTGTTGCTTAGACTCCCAGCAGGATATTTCCTTTAGTGCTTAAGTCAGATCGCAGCGTTTCAAGCCCTTCTGGGTAAAAAGCCCGTCTCCACCCTCTGCCCCCTGCCACCCTGCACGGGGCCTCGGCCTGCCTGTCCGCGCAGGACCGGGGCCGGGTGGGGAGCTTGCTTGCCGCAGCCGCCCTGGCAACCTTGACTGTGAATGGCAAACATGACCAGGATTCTCTCCTGCCAGGCCCTGGGGCCTCGAGCAGGAGGGCAGAACCTACGTGACTCAACCATACCCACTTCCTCTTTCATAAGCCATCACATGAGGAGCTACAATCACAATTACGGCCTTGTCTGTGCGAATTGCAGACGCATTGCCTCACCCCAGAAACCCCGGTTCTGTGCTGGGGGGGCGGGGGGGGGGGCGAGGCGAGGAGGCGGTGCCCGCTGCAGAAGGCATTGGAAGGCATCCAGCCCCGCTGTGCTGGCAGGGAGAGAGGGAAGGAGGGAGGGAAGGGAGGGCGGGGGTGGGAGACGAAAACAAAGCTGTGTTTACTTAGCACACATGATAGAGCCGCTCTGAGCGACATGAAAGGCCAGGCAGCAGGAAAGACTCCGTACAATATAAGGAATCGCTGCCCTGGGTCCAGGGCCCGCCGGCCTTAACCCCCTTGATCCCGGATCCTTTTATGGCCCAGGGACGCCATAAAACCAGCCTTTTCATGTTCCTGAAGGCACTGCATTAGGGAAGTTACATCCACTCGGTTTCGACATTAAACGGTGGGGTGGGGGGGGGGGGGGGTGTGTAGAATAAAAAGGAACTGCCCTGCATGGGGAGAAGAAAAGCTAAGCTTTGTTCTACTACAGAAACCCTTCCTTGGCACCTCTTTGGGCAGGATTCGCATCTCCCTATTCCTCCCCTGGGCTTTCCCTTGAAGGTGATAGTGCTGCTCGTAGGTAAATGTGCATAATGAGGCCGCAGCTCTAACGCCTCCTTCTGTGATGTTTCCGGCTCTGCCTGGTGGGGCCAGCTCTTTGGGGTGCTCAGTGGCTCACCGCCCTGCAGGACGAAGGCTAGGCCTTATCGGCTTTGGCCAATGCACCCCCACACACACACACACCTCTCCCACCCCCGGGGCCAGGCCACGTGCTAGAACGTGGCACACGTTCTGGGGTGAGGCAATGCGTCTCCGTGGAGAGAGGGACCAAAGGGACAGGTCCCGGGAGAGGTGCGACAGCAGGGACCGGGAGTGAGCAAGCCCACGCGGTCCCCAGCTGCCTCCCCAGCGAGGAGGGGGGCGGGATCCGGAGGGGGAGGCCTTTCTGGCGGGCGCCCCCTTTCTCTGGAAATCCCCGGGGAGAAAAGAGGCAGCAGCGTTCGCCTGCAAACATTTAGGTCTGGCAATGCGTGCGTCTCCTGGGCCACCGCGAACAGGTTTCTTCATGCGCCTTAAGCAGCTCCCTGCACTGTTTTTCCTCTTCCTTGTGGTTAATCCTTTGAAGCAACCTGCCATTTTCATCAGCAACTGGGGAGGGACGTCGGCAGGATCTCTCTCTCTCTCTCTCTCTCCCTCCACCTACCAATCCGGTGGAAGGAACGATGATATAATTAGTACCCTGCTCTTCCCACACCTAACCCGCTCCTTCCAGGCTCCAGGAGCCATGTGGGCCTGTTTTCCAACAAAAGCGGCTCCAGAGGCCGGCCTCGCAGCGTTTGAAGTGTCAAAACCCCAACCGAGAGTGACTAAGCCTGTGTCTATCCGTCAGGAGGAGTAACGACCAGCCAGAGCGATTCACTCCAACACGCGCCAGCTCCTCCTCGCGATGCAAGGGTGCAACTCCAGTGCTCGGTGCAGCCTGGGCTGAGCTGTGGCTGCCAACCGTGGCGGGGGCGCGAGGGCGATGGTTCACGGCAGGCGTGGATACCGCATCGGGCTACAGCCGGGCCCCGGAGGCGTGGGGGGTGCACATCCGCTCCGCCCCCGATAGCGACCCCCACGGCCCGCGCCCTCCCCCACCCCCGTCCCCATCCACGCGGGCCCAGCAGAGCAGGGAGGGGCGGGGCGGGCGGCCGGGGGCGGGGCCTGCAGGAGCCGGGCGTCGGGGGCGGGGCCTGGGCGTCGGGGGCGGGGCCTGCGCAGTGACGCGACACGCTGGCCGCGGCCGGGTCCCTGGAATGTGCGTGCGCGCAGGGAGGCCGCCAGCGCCTCCGAGTCACGTCCGCGCGGAGCGTGCGCACTCGGCGGCGGCGCACGCGGGCTCGGGCCCCGCGCCCACGTCATGCGCCCGCCTCGGACCTACATAAGAGGCCAGGCGCTGGTCCCGCGAGGACCGCGCTGGGGAAGCGGGCGGACGGGGACCTCGCTCTGCGCCCCCGCCTTCCGGAAGGTCCCAGACTAGGGGACAGTCTCCTGGGTTAGGAAAACTTGGGGTCCCGCGGCGTGTTCCCCCCCAGACCCCTAAGACACACGCGAGTGTAAAGCACCCCCCAACAGTCCAAGTGCAACTCCTAACACCCGGGAGCCACGCTGCCTCCGGACAGGGTGACAACCAAGGCACAGAGTGGCCTCCCTTTTAACACACGGGATGATTCGCACGATCTCCCCCAAACTGGCCGGGAGGGGAGGGCGCCCCGACTGCGTGGTCGAGGTCGCCGGCGGCGGGAGACACGCAGCCCGCGCGGAACGGGCTCTCCCGGCGGCACCCGGTCTGCGCGCGGGGGCGGGGCGGGCGCGGGGGCGCGCGGGGCAGGGCGCGCGCGCGCACGAGGGGAGGAGAGGGGGGCCGCCCGCGCAGGCGCCGTGCGGGGCTGTCGAAGAATCGAGCCCGTAGAAGTGGAGCGGCGCGGCGGCAGCTCGGCAGCCCCGGCGGCGGCGCAGCGGCGGGCAGAGCGCTGAGCGCGCGCTAGAGAGCGGCGACGCCCGGAGCGGAGGGAGCAGCGCGGCGACCGGGGCCCGCACCGTCCGCCCGCCCGCCTCCTCGGCGCGGCATGCCTCGCCGCTCGGGCTGAGCCTGCCCCCGCGGCCGCCCCCCGGCCCCCGCCCCCCGGCCGCCCCGCACTCCGCGCCCGCCCGCCGCCGCCGCGACCTGCTGCGCTCGTCCGCGCCCGCGCGGCCCGTCTTCGCTCCGGTCTGGAGGCCCGCCGTCTCGGCCGAGCCGCCGCCGCCGCGCCCGCCGCCCGCCCGCGCCCGCCGGGGGGCCGTGCTGCCGCGCCTGCAGCCGCTCGCCCCGCGCCCGCCGCCCCTCGTGCCGCGGGGGCGCTGCGCGGGCGCCGATCCCGCGCGGGCTCTGCCTCCGCCGCCGCCCCTGCGGCCGCCGCCGCTGGTGGGGGAGCCGCGGGGTTGGGGGGGCCGGAGGGCGCGCGCGGGGCCGGCGGCGAGCGGCAGCGCCCCCTCCCCGGCGGGCGGCGCGGACATGGCCGCGGCGGTGGCGGTGGCGGCCGCGTCCCGGCGCCAGTCCTGCTACCTGTGTGACCTGCCCCGCATGCCCTGGGCCATGATCTGGGACTTCACGGAGCCCGTGTGCCGCGGCTGCGTCAACTACGAGGGCGCCGACCGCGTCGAGTTCGTCATCGAGACGGCGCGGCAGCTGAAGCGGGCGCACGGCTGCTTCCCCGAGGGCCGCTCCACGCCCGGCGCCGCCGCGGCCGCCAAGCCGCCGCCGCTCTCGGCCAAGGACCTGCTGCTGCAGCCGCCGCAGCTCGGCCCCGAGGCGGCCCGCGCCCCGCAGGCGCTGGAGCGCTACCCGCTGGCCGCCGAGCGCCCCCCGCGCCTCGGCCCCGACTTCGGCGGCGCCCGCTCGGCCGCGGGCCTGGCGCAGCCCCCGACGCCGCAGCCGCCGCCCGTGAACGGCATCCTGGTGCCCAACGGCTTCTCCAAGCTGGAGGAGCCGCCCGAGCTGAACCGCCAGAGCCCGACCCCGCGCCGCGGCCACGCCGTGCCGCCCACGCTGGTGCCGCTCATGAACGGCTCGGCCGCGCTGGGGCTCGGGGGCCGCGCCGCCGCCTCGCTGGTCGCCGTGTCGGGCCCCGCCGCCGGCCTGGGCTCCGCGCCGCCCGCCGAGCTGGGCGTGCACAAGCGGCCCGCGTCCGTGTCCGGCTGCGCGGTCACCGAGCACGAGCCGCGCGAGGCGGCGGCCGGCGCCAAGGAGAAGGCGCCGCCCGCGCACCGCGGCCCGGCCGACAGCCTGGCCCCCGCCGCCGGGTCCGCCGAGCTGGGCGCCGAGGCGGCGGGCAAGGGCCGCGCGCCCGGGGAGCAGGACTGGGTGGCCCGGCCCAAGACGGTGCGGGACACGCTGCTGGCGCTGCACCAGCACGGCCACGCGGGCGCCTTCGAGAGCAAGTTCAAGAAGGAGCCCTCGGCGCTGAGCGCGGGCCGGCTGCTGGGGTTCGAGGCCAACGGGGCCAACGGGTCCAAAGCAGGTAGGGGCGGCCGTGGGGTGCGGTGGGGGACCCCGGGGGAGGGGAAGGGGGACCCGGGGCCGTGGCGCAGGGAAGGGGGGGGGCGGATCTTTCCATTCACATCTGCCCCAGCCCCAGCCCCAGCCCAGAAACAACAAACAGCCAACTTCCTGCGCGCCCCGGGGCGGGCGGAACCAGCGCGCGGTGGCAACGTGTTCATGTGCTGAAGCAGCACAACAGAGATGAGTCAGGCGGGGCTGCAGGGCCTGACGCAGGGTTTCCTTCCCCAGTTCCCCAGCAATGTGTTCTTGGATGGGAGCAGCCGGGGGGGGGGGGGGGGGGCGGCGGGGGACACCCCACCTTCAAACCCCCAGGCAACAGGTCAAGCCAGGGACATGTGTGCAATGCGTAAAAATAGGCAGGCGTCTGTGGGCCAGTTTCGGTGGCTTTTTAAAGAAACTGCTAGGGAGCCAGCCCCGTGAGCATGGGTGTTTTAAGTTGCACGTGCATTTAAAACTTACATGGGTTTTTATATACAGATATATATATATGCAGGCTTTCACAGGGCAGACAGAGGTGCATTAGGAAAAGATCCTTTTCCAAGTGTGTGTGCATTTATTTTTCTCTTTTCTCCCCCCTCCCCCCCCCCTTTTTTTTTCTTTTCTGTTTGCTTGTGGTTTTCAGTGGCAAGAACAGCAAGGAAAAGGAAGACTTCCCCAGAGCCGGAAGGAGAGGTCGGGCCCCCGAAGATCAACGGGGAGGCCCAGCCGTGGCTGTCCACGTCCACGGAAGGGCTCAAGATCCCCCTGAATTCGACACCCTCGTTTGTGTCTCCGCCGCCGCCCACAGCCTCGCCCCATTCCAACCGGACCACCACGCCGCCCGAAGCTGCCCAGAACGGCCAGTCCCCCATGGCAGCCCTGATCCTAGTAGCAGACAATGCGGGGGGCAGCCATGCCTCCAAAGATGCCAACCCGGTGCACTCCACCACCCGGAGGAATAGCAGCAGCCCACCCTCTCCGTCCTCTATGAACCAAAGAAGGCTGGGCCCCAGGGAGGTGGGGGGCCAGGGGGCCGGCGGCACCGGAGGACTGGAGCCCGTGCACCCCGCCAGCCTCCCGGACTCCTCCCTGGCGGCCAGCGCCCCCCTGTGCTGCACCCTCTGCCACGAGCGCCTGGAGGACACCCACTTCGTGCAGTGCCCGTCGGTCCCTTCCCACAAGTTCTGCTTCCCTTGCTCCAGACAAAGCATCAAGCAGCAGGGGGCCAGCGGGGAGGTCTACTGCCCCAGCGGGGAGAAGTGCCCCCTGGTGGGCTCCAACGTCCCCTGGGCCTTCATGCAAGGGGAGATCGCCACCATCCTGGCCGGAGACGTGAAAGTGAAAAAAGAGAGGGACTCGTGACTTCCCGGTTTCGGAAAAACCCGATGGCTATCCTTAACGAAAACTGCTTGAACTGTATATATATAATCTCCACATATATATATTATATATATATATATCCAAGACAAGGGAAATGTAGACTTCATAAACATGGCTGTATAATTTTGATGATTTTTTTTTTGAATACATTGTGTTTCTATATATATATTTTTTTTGACGACAAAAGGTATGTACTTATCAAGGCATTTTTCTTCTTTTGTTAACGTTATTAGCCTATCTCTGTGCTTCATTATCTTGGTGACAGTGACCGGTTCCATGTAGGCTGTGACTTGCGCTGCTTTTTTAGAGCACTTGGCACCCCCCCCCCCCCCGAACTGCTTCTAGCTGTATTTGTAACGCACTTACTTTAAAAAGAAGAAAAAAAAAAAGCCAAATACATTTTCTGACGTTGTGAGATTGCCTTACTGTCCGTTATTCCTTGTGGCTGGTTCCTGTCACAGGCCGGAGGCCAACTGGTGGAGAAGGAAAGGAAGTGAGTTGGCAGGGGCACCCTTGTGAAGTGGGCACACCACTGGGCAACCTCACCAGGTTCACCCCCAAAACACTGTCGCCTGAAAGGAACAGGAAAATAGATTTTTGAGTCCGTCTTTGTTTTGTTTTTCAAGTTCAGTTGTTCGGACATTGAGGACTGCCTGGGAGTTGCTGCTGAGAGAATTTGGGGGACGGTGTGGTTTCGAGGGAGACTTTTTCTTGATTTTTAAGGCAAAGTTGACCACTGCTCACTGCCCACGCAATCAGTGGTAAGATTCTCATGCTGCATGCTAGTCGGTTACATAAGACACAGTCGGGTGACGGAGGGTGGTGACGGGGTGCAGATGGCACTGCCACCTTTGAGCGGGGCCTGGTTCTGCCCCGAGCTCTGTTGTAAACACCCCGAGCTCTGTTGTTGCCAGCGCCTTGGCCTTTGGAAAGAGTTGCAATAGGAATTCCAGTCCCCGTGAACTTGGAGATGGTGGGGTTGGTTTCGTTTCTGTTTCGTGTTGTGTTTTGTTTTTATCATTGACCTGTAGCGCTGTGGCTGTGGCTAGCGTCACCTACACCCTGTCTCTTGCAAGTGCTGAGTGCAGTCATGGTACAGTGGCAGCCGCTGCACAGGGTGCTGGTTGCCAGGACTGCCAGGGGCCATGTCAGTGACAGCCCAGCTGCGGGTGGAGGACACTCATTTCCTCTTACCTATGGAGTGAATAATAACAGTTCTTTGGGGGGGGGGGGGGGGAGATAAACTAGTGAAAATTAAAAGGTTTTACATAACAGGCCCCACCTCTCCCAACTCTTTTCAGAAGCCTTTTGTAAACTAATTTCTTTTGATGACTATTTTGCATCAGTAAAATGATGTTTTTAAACCAATAAATCATCAGCTGTGGTAGACATAGTTGTCTCGAGCGATGCTGGTTTTTCTTTTGTGCTGTTCTCACATCCACGGGAGCACGATTCTAAGTCCTTTGATGTTCAGGTGTGTGTAACTTGGCCCTAATATCAGGCTGAATCATCGTTTTCAAGGTCTGTTGCAACGTAACGTGGTGTATCGTTCACAACCCAGCTTTTGTTTGCATTTGAAAACAGATTGTTACCCACTTGGGGTTATTTTTTAGTTCTGTGTTTTGTCTTTCGAAAAGTGCTCAAAAAGATTTTTCTTAATGGTCGGGTTATTAACACTTGAAAATCAGATACTGCGCCAAATACAGTCTTTTTCGTAGTGTTTTTAATGAGTGCACTTATTAATGCTGTGCAAATTCATGTTCCTAGTCATTGTTATATGGCCCACAGACTTGCATGATTAACCAGTTTCTTTTTTTTTTTTTTTAATTGGAGTAGCTATGACTCAGATCCAACTGGTTTCTCTTATGTAATGTACACAGGCAGACAAGTCTGTTTTCCATGCCCATAAGAGACATGTGTAAAGAATTCAACCATTATGGTCTGTTGTATCCATGTGTATCTAGGCACTTTATTCTAAACTGGAATTTGACCTCCTAGATGTTACACGTTGATCCGTCATTTGACCTAATTGGGGGGAGCTTATCTGTATGTTTTGCAATCTTAGCACAGATAGCTTTTCCAAAAAGAATGATCTAGAACCCTCCTGCTGTTCTGTATACATCTATCCAGCTGTGGAAAAGACTGCCTATGGTTTTTCTCTGCTGATGGTGAAGTGGGAAGGACGCAAACAGCTTTACAGAACTGTGTGTGGAGGTTACTCCTGTTAAAAAACAAGATTTGCATGCGTCCGCCTGGCCCCTGGGTGGCCTCGATGGGAGACTGGCAGCTGGAAAGTGTTGATCAGGGAGGGTGATTTTTCTGGCCTTACGTGAAAAAGTTGACATTGGGACAGGGGTTTGATCTGTTGTTGTACCTGATGACAGTATGGTTTTCCACAGCTGGATAAAAGGCCTGAAAGCTGCTTACTGTACATGGGCAGTATCAGATTTCAGATCCTAATGTGTCAGCTGTGCTTTTAATACTCAGAATATTACGGGATGGGCGTCCCGGCTTTCCCCCCCCTTTTTTTTTTTGCTTTCCCGACTTACAGGATTTCACACATGTATTCTTTCATGTGGCCTCACGTTAAAAGTTATGGGAACGAACACGTGGTTTACAACTTTTACTATATACCCTTTCCTTGGCCACCAAGTATTTTAAAAAGTGTGCCACCTTTTAACCTTAACTTTTTTTTTTTTTTTTTAAGTGGAAGGTGATAACTTTTTCTATATATGATGCAACTTATGTCAAACCGAAGTGAGTGTAATCTCAGCTATGAACATGATTATATTTTAAACAATCACGCTGTGGAAATATCACCTGCATTCTGTCATGTGTCAGATTTACAGTACTTTTTTTTTTTCTCTCTTTCTCTTTAAACGTTTAGCATTAAATAAAAATAAACTTGGGAGCACTGAATATTTTCCGAGGCCTTTTTTTTTTAAGTTTTTTTAAAAAGTAAGGTTAGAAACGGCTGTTGCTTTCATCACGCATGGCAGTAGGGCTCAAGGGTGTGTGGGTTAGGGGTTGGGGTTTGGCTGGAACTGAGGGTAGGAAAAAAAAAAAGAGGGGGAGGGGGGCCAGGAACTGGGGAAAGGGCCACTGGATAGAGGACCCAGAGCCAGAAAACGCTTGTTGATGGTTGAGCTTGCAGCGAGCCAGCGGGGCTGCAAGAGCAGGTTGGAAAGGGAAGGTAGTGACGACATCGCAGACACTGTCAGGACATGGAACTGCTCGCTCTCTGGAAAGCTCTGGAGGAAAGCCGCCCTGTGGGGCCAGATGAAATGCACTTGAAGGCCAAAGAGAAAGAAAAAAAACAGCCTACCCTTTGGAAAATTCTGGAATAGAGAGGGCCAAAGTCACGCAGGAGGTTCATGGATATTGCGAAGCCGGGATTTATAGAGATGAAAGGAGATGCCTTTACAAACTACTGCACTTACTGTCACATAGGACATGTCTAGGTGTCCGCAGCGTTTACCCTGTCGATCAGTGGCTTGGCCGACGTCTCCAGGAAAGGAAGTTGTGAAACTTCTAAGGAGTTAGATAGAGGATAGGGTGGGCACACACAGACTTAGCATTCAATAAAAATAAAATTGGGCCGAAACCGGTTTGGCTCAGTGGATAGAGCGTCGGCCTGCGGACTGAAAGGTCCCAGGTTCGATTCCGGTCAAGGGCATGTACCTGGGTTGCGGGCACATCCCCAGTAGATGTGCAGGAGGCAGCTGATCGATGTTTCTCTCTCATCGATGTTTCTAACTCTCTATCTCTCTCCCTTCCTCTCTGTAAAAAATCAATAAAATATATTTAAAAAAAAAAAAATTGGGAGCACTGGACATTTTCCAAGGCCTTTAAAAAAAAAAAAAAGTATATGTTTTTAAATTGAACAGCAACAGATCACGGGTCCAATAACTTGCGGGGCTCATCGTTACATTTTAATCATATATTTAGGAGCCTGTTGAAGGCAGTTTTCAAGAAACGGTGTTCTTAAACAGTGAATTATAGATCGTGCCACACAAGTTTCGCTTCATGATTAAGTGAAATGTTAAACTTTCTTAAAAAAAACGCGAGGGCTCAGTTGTGACTGGAACTTAAAATCCTGCAGGTTGCAGAAGTCACTTTTAAATTTCAAAAGCTCCTTTCAAAGGACACGTTGATGATGGCATTTCAGTTTCCAGTTTAAAAAAAACACAAAACAACCCAGGCTCTTGCTGTGGCAGATGTCTTTGTTTATACCCCAAAGCTGCGGGGGGGGGGGGGGGGGGTAATTAAAGGGAAAATGTGGAACGGCTTTTTTTAAAGTCCCTGGCTCCCCCAAGCCCCGTTGCCTCTGATGGATAGATGGTTTCATGTGGTGAGTGAAGAGTGAGATGAAGTGTAGACGCAGGATCATTCAGAAAAACGCTCAGTGGCTTGCAGGCCACGAGAAGGCCTGAGTCACCCTCCCTCGCTTGCCTTTTCTTACGGGAACAGTGAGAAGAAGACACGCCTTCCCGCTGTCACAGCCCAAGGTCACAGTCACCAGTGAATGGAACACAGTTACCTACTTCCATCCGGTCCGCTGAGGTTTTAGAAATGAGGGGCTTGGGGGTGCTGTTTAACTCCTTCAGCGCCACTGGCCAGGCCTCCGGCAGCTCTGGCATTGATGATGATGACATGAGATGACAGACAAATAGAAATTGTGGGCGTGGCCTCCCGGGTTTTCAACTATTTTGCTGTTTCTACGGGCCGCCTGCATTTCCCTCCAAGGTGGTGAGTCATCCCCTCAGCAATTTAAAAGGCGCAAGAAAATAACAGAAAAGTCGATTTGGAAATTACTTAAAGGGATTGGAAGATGGGAAATGACCAGATTTATGGATTACCTATGGATTTCTCTATTAAACCCCAGACGAATCCATAATTAGGGATATCCACACCCTCCCTCTTTCCCATTCACAAATTCATTTGTACCCAATTTAACAGTGAGCTTTGTGTTAACCCATCGACCTGTTACCTCTCCTTCCCCATGACAATACAGCTTAACGCAATTGGAAACAGCTTTCCTCGGTGAACTTGCGGTCTAACATTTTTTTTTTAGTTATAGAATATGAAGTCTGCACCTGCTTTTATCATTTAATATTGTGTGCTGCCTTTTGGCACTGAGACGCATAAAACAATGTCGGAGCCACCGAAAGTTATGTTAGGACAAAAAGCATACCGCAGGCAAATCACTCTTTAGAATAATTTAGACATTGGGCCATAAAACTATTCTTTTATTTGGGATCTGAGAAACAGATTGGGAATTGAGTGAAACCTCCTGAATAGAATAACCCTATTACAATGGTATAAATGGTTTCTTCCATGATATAATCTTTTTTAAAATATATGTTTATTGATTTCAGAGAGGAAGAGGGAGAGAAATATATATATATTATTAATTTCAGAGAGGGAGAGAGAGAAATATTGATGATCAGAGAGTCACGGATCTGCTGCCTTCTGCACACCCCACACGGGGGATCAAGCCCAAAACCCAGGCATGTGCCCTGACTGGGAATCGAACCAAGACCTCCTGGTTTATAGGCTCAACCTACAAGCCAGGCCAGTCACACCGAGCCACGCTGGCCAGCATAATACAATCTTGAAAAAAAAAATCGATTTTTAAAAAGGTAGACTAGCCCTTGAAAACTCAGATCCCTAGTGCAGCCAGTCTTGTTCAGGCAGGTCAAATTCATCACAAAATCAGCCCCGAGACTCTTCCCGGAGGTGACTTTGTCCCGGGGGGCAGACGAGGTCTGGAGGCAAGACGGACGGCATTCCTGTTTACTTGGCCGGCACCCGAGCTCCGGCTGAGCTCACCCTCTGAATGGGCGTTACAAGTTCGATTGCATAATCTCCCAGCCACTCCGCAGAAGCCCTTGATGCTGAGATAAGACATCCTGCAGAGAGTAACAGTGTCACATTTGAATATCTCTAAATATAGTTTCTATTTGGGGGGGAAATGAGCCGTGTTATGTAATCTGTAGATCCCATCTCATACTTTTATTTAGTAATTACTATATCATCACCATCAGCTAACATCCAGATGCCCATGAGGGGACAGGCCTCCCGCACAGCAGGAGTCGGGGTTGTTTTTTTAAAAAATATTTTTTATTGATTTCAGAGAGGGCGAGAGAGAGAGGGAGAGAGATAGAAACATCCATGATGAGAGAGAATCATGGATCGGCTGCCTCCTGCACGCCCCACATCGGGGATCGAGCCCG